TGCCTCCGAGCACAGCTTTGTGCAGCGCGAGCGCGGCAGAAGCCTGTACTCGAGGCTTTTCTCAGTAGGGGGAGGAAGGAATGGTTTCGCTCTGAAAAACGCTAGCATTGATTGTGCCAAATAAAAGGTTTCTCAGAAGGACAAATTCTTGAGCGTCTTCCTGCTACCTAAGGGTGGATGCGTGCTGTGCCTCCCAAATAGGGATTGAAAAATCGGTTGCAGCGCTAACTGGAGCAGAGGAAATGCTTGTAGGGGTTTGATTCTCCTCCGCACACCGAGGTGCTTCAGTCCCTCCCCACCGCTGCCCCTCTTACCCAGCCCAGGCCCGCTTTGCTAGCACTGGCTGCTGCCTTTCCCCGGTTTTAGCAGGGCCGAAACGATTGTACTCACCGTCCCCAGGTTGTTTTCCAAAGGGAGAGTAAAAGGCCAGAGCAGGACCGCTCTCGCCGTGGAGGGGGGAGATGAAATACCAGGCTAAACACAATGCTGGGGAGTTTCCTCCTGGCCATCTATGAAAATGCCCCCGGAGGAGGGCCTGTATCCAGGAGGAGATACCGAGAGCGGGGATGGCTGGCCGCAGATAGCGGGAGCACGTGTATCCTGCCCTTGCACCCCCCATTTTTCCCAGAAAACCGCTTGTTTCTGTGCCAAGCCTGTGGGCTGCGTGCGATCATCTGACTCTGCAGCCGCTATTGATTATACCAGCGGGCAGCAGGAACTGTCCTAACCGCGGCCAGAGCTGGCTGCGGGAGGGGGCTGGCCTCGGCTCCCCCTCCCCGGGGGGGGAGGAAACAGCACCCCGGCTCCGCAACCTTCGGATGTGGCCGGGCGGGCTGGAGGCGTTTTCAAACGTCTTTCAAACGTCGGTTTTGGTTTTTTTGGTTTTTTTTTTTTTAATTTTTTTTTTAGCATGTGAAGCAACTGGCCAGAGGGAAGAGGACAAACACCTGGACTGCCTTGTCCTCCCCATCCCTCGATGGCTCTGGGCTGCTCCGGCTGCGGGTTCACCCTGCGCTTCGGCCTCACCCGCTGGCAAAGGAACACAGGGAGAGCCCCAGCCGAGAGACCGCATCCAGTCTCCTATCAGCGTAGTTTTCCTTCTGTCAGGCAATTAAATCCGGAGGTGGGCAGCTGGATGTAAGATTTGTGCATCCCTCAGGGCAGAGAAAGCTGCAGCTCAGGTTTCTGTCTCTCTGCTGCCCTACAGCAACCCTCCGGGGTCCTCCAGGGAGTGGGCAGGAGAGAAAATGCAGCCGAAGAGGGGCTGCCTTCAGCTGCTTGCTCTGATCGATGGAGGAGACCAAGGGGGAAGCAACTGCAGCTTCTGCCGGCTCCAGATGATGCCGCATAGTTTCCCTTTTAAAAGCATGAGCTGGGCTGGAGAAATAAATATTTGCGTTACAATTCCTGTTGGAAACGAAAGGCTGTGTTTGGAGAGAGGGTGTTAAACGGAAGTCGCCGGGGCCAACGCAGTTTGTTGCTGTGACTATTTTATTTGCTGGGCGCGATCCCGCTCCCGGCTGTTCCCTGCCCTGCTCCCAACTGGAACAGGCGGCAGCTTCGGTGGTGAGCGAGGAGGGGTCGCTCCCCAGGGGCTCAATTTTAGTCTGGGGCAGGAGAGCTGAGCGGGCAGCTCAACCTGTAGAGGTGGCCTGGGGCTCTGGAGGACAGCCAGCCAGCCCTCGAGCCCGCATCCAGCTCGGGGCTCAGCGCCTTCCCTCTGCCCTTTCTTCCATTTTCTCCGAGTTAGGTGCAAAGGCTCTGGCTGTGGGCACGTTGCCAACGCAGTCCTCCTCGGCTGAACAAAATGTCCCCCTGTCCCGGGGCCTGGCTTTTTGCTGGGGTCGCTGCTTTGTGGCACAGGGCCCTCCTCCCCGGGGTCCCCGCTCCTTCCCGGCGGCCCCTCCGGAGGAGCATCGGGGTTCTCCATCCAGGTGCTGACACCTGTGCCCGGCTGGGGAATGCTGAGGAGGGATTGCAGAGGAGGGAGAGCAAAGAAACGGCTGGAAATCCCGGGGCTCC